CCCTTCCCCTTCCCCTTCCCCTTCCTCTTCCCCTTCTCCTCTTTCTCTTTCTCCTTCCCCTTCCCCTTCTCCTTCTCCTTCTCCTTCTTTGTTTTGAGACAGGGTCTCCCTAGGAAGTTCATCCTGGCATTGTGCTGGCTGAACTCACTTTGTAGCCCAGGCTGGCCTTCAAATGACAGAGATCCTCCTACCTCAGCCTCCCAACTGCTGGGATTACAGGCGTGGACCCAATACCTAGCTTCCTTTCTGGGAATAATAAACCCATGTTTGAGAGTCCCCCTTACAGGATGTTGTGTTCCATGTGGGGGACTGAATACATGCCAAGATTTTGCATACCATAGTCCTGTGGCATGCACAGGGTAGGCGTCAGGGTACATGTGTTCATAAGAGTGCACATGAGGAGAATTTAGGGTGCCTTCCTCTTGGACTGAGTGACATGTGCATTGTGTGGCTGCAATCCAATAGCCTGTGTAAGATTTTTTTTTCTTTTTGGTGGTACCAGGGATCAAACTCAGGACCTTGCGCTTGCCAAGCAAGCACTTATTCTACTGAGCTATGGTGCCGGTCCCATGTGCAAGATCTTTGGTAGCCTATTTTTGGGGATGGTCACCCTGGGGTGACTTGTGGGTACTGCAGTAGTTAGAAACCTTACACTTAAGATTCGGGGTAGTGCATTCCTTGGAGATCTTTGTGAGGCTCTGGATTTTATGGAGCACTCAGATATTGTGGGTCTTGTTTTGTTGGGGCAGGCATGGGTGGGCTGCTGGGAACCCCAGTCTTTCCTTGTGGGCAGGCTCACGCGCACTGTAGGCCTTTGGTTGTGCAGCATCCTGGGGGTCATCCTAGATGGAGGCGTGTAGATATGTTTGTCTCCTGCAGGGCAGGTGTGCGCTAGAAGAGGACTTTCTACATCTTGTGCTTTGCGATGGTTCTCAATGTGCTGGCTCCGTTGTCATGGAGGAAGTTCCTGGCCGACGGACTTCATCTTCTGGAAGCCTGCTGTGTCCAGCACCTGGCCATCCCCTGCCCAGCCCCAAGATCCCCACATCTCAGGTGCGGGTGCTCTCAATTCCCAT